GCCCTTTAGCTACCCTAATAGGCCTATACCCTTAACCCTGCCCCCTAGATTAAAGCCCTATCCGTAGGGCTTAAATCTACTAGCGACGGAACTCCGAGCCCCCTGCCTCCTATACTCGAATAGAAGGTCGACGAGCTAGCTTAGGCAGTTCGCAGGCTTATAGAATAGCCTAAACCCCTTTATAGCGAGGCTATAAAGGGGAAAAAGGCCCTATAGCACCCTAGGCCCCTTTTTTAGGGGCTTTAGCACCCTTAGCCCCTACCTACCCATACCTCTATACCCCCGGCACCCATACTAACAGACCCTAAAAAGGTCCCTAAGGTTATTCTATAACCTACGGTAGGGGCAGCGATTCCTAGAGAAAACTTCGACTCCCTCGGGCTTCGGAATAAGCTTAATAAGGCCCTAAAATTCCCTGCAGTTACGGCTGTTAGCCGGTCGACTAACGGGAACCTTATTTTTACCCCGGGGCCGAAGTACAGCGTTCAACAGCTCCTAGACTCGCAGAATCAGTGGTTTAAAGAGTTAAACCGCCCCTCCAGCCCTCCTAGCCTATAGGCGACTAGTTTAAGCTTATTATTAAACAGGTGCCTTCTAAAGCCTTTAGGGGTGGCGATACCCCTCCAACCGACCTCTCCGAGTCGCCGCAAGAGGCCCTTAACCGAAGCCTATAACAGGGCCTAGGCTTACAGGACCTAGCTACCACAATCGGCACCTTTAACTCTATTAGGGTAGTAGGGAAGCCTCGGTGGCTAGGGGCTCTGAACGCATTTTTCGGCATAGTGGTTATTTCCGTGCCCTCTACTCAAGAACAGAAGTACTGCCTAAAACAGGGGCTCTATATAGCCGGCCAGCGGCTAAAGGTCTATAAATATAGGCGTATAACCCCTAGAACCCGGTGCTCTAACTGCTGGAAATTCGGGTATACCCGAGGGATCTATAAAGGCCTAGTTTACTGCCCTATCTGTGCTGTTAAAGGCTATAGGGAGGAATACCACTACTATAACGAGTGTGAAGAATACGGAGACTGCGAGTATAAGACCTATAAGTGCTGTAACTACGAGGGAGATCACCCCCCCTTTAGTAGGGACTACGAGGTCTTTCGAGCTATAAAACCCTAAATTCTATAAATAAAGGGCCTTTTAGTTCGAAAGATATCCGGTTTATTTAATACAACATCGATGAACAGGCCCCGGCGTAAGAGGCTATCCTAAAATAGACTTTAGAGGCTTCGGCTGATATAGTCCTTATTCAGGAACCAGCCTGCGTCTCGACACCAGAAGGGTGGTTTATTCGGAACCACCCTGCTTTCTACACCGTTACGCCTATATCCTAAAAAACCCAGTTCTTCTCTATTAAGCCTAGGGTCCTTACTTATATAAGAAAGGGCTCTAGTATCGATTTTTCACACCCCGATAACCTTCTAGACGATGTAGATGCGTAGATTATAGAGGTTTGTTATCTAAGGACCTTTTATATTCTACACGTTTATAATTTGATAGAATAGGACCCCGAAATAATAGGCCGAGGGCGGCCCCCTAGCCTTACTCCTTTACCTTTTCCACTTCGTCTTCTTCTTTTCCCTCCTTTTTAGGCCCTAGAAGCCGACCCTGGACGGAAGATCGCGTGCTATAGGGCCTCTAGGTCCCTAAGCCCTCCCTTATTATAGAGGACTTTAACAAAAGCTATTAGTAGTAGATCGGGGCTGCTATTAACTAGTTTTCTATTAAGGCCTAGGCCCTAGTAGACTGGTTAGACAGCCTCGAAGCTACCTATTTAGTGAATCCTAAAGTATATTTATTTTATTTTTTATTCATTACGCGCGTGCAGCCCTATAGCTATACCGCGGCGCCTATCGCCCTAGGGGCTAAAGGCTAGTAGGAGCTAAGGATAGTAAATCAGTAAGTAACAGTAATAACCAAAGGAAATCCTCCGTAATAATCTGCCTAATCGACCTAATAGCATAGATAAAAACCAAAACACAAGACCTAGGCCGCAGAAATCAAGGTTTACGCCATATAGCACTTCGCTGAAGCTATTGTAGTAGCTAAGAGGTAGGCCTCTAAAGCCTGTATTCCCCTTGTAGTACTAAATAAAAGCGGTAGAGATAGCAGTAGGCCTGCTAGGGCTTCCCGTAGAGCCTTTCGTTCGTTTTTATAATAAGGGCAGGAAAGGATAAGGTTGGCTATATCCTACATAGGGGAGCCGAGACAGGAATAGCAGTTATTAGCATAGTTTTACAACCTTTTCTAGTGGGTTTTTACGTATCCGAAGCCAGTTTTTAACTACGTAAAAGCCGACTTTACCCACCTAGGGCCTTATATTAGTAGTGGTTTTCGGGAGAAACGGAGGGTATCGCGGACTAGGTGCCTATATAGGTGGCCTAGTCACACCGATTTACCTCTTTTTTCCGCCTCCTCTTCGTTATTCTACAGGGTCTTCTGGTGTTAAATAAGGGCTTTATTTACCCGGTGCTTTAGGTGGCTAAGGGTAACTAAGCTAACGGACTTAGTAGCTTTTTCGGGGTTTAACGCCCCTTTAACTACTTTATCCGCCAGTTTCTTACCCTCTATTCCTATATACGAGGGGCACTACTATATAGAAACCGAAGTGCCTAATTATTTACGGCGTAGGATAAGGTCCTTAGCTTCCATAGCCTACTATAAGGTGCAATAAAGCTTCTAAATAGCCGCCTATAAATTACTAAGAATATAGTACTCTAGAGGCCTAGGCGTCTACTCTAGGGCAGCGTGGAGGGCCTAAAGAATAGCGTATAATTACGCGTCTGCGACTTCGGCAGCGGTCCCTAGGTTAAAGCCTATAGCTTTATAGGGCCTTTCAGTATTAGTCCACTATATTACAGCGACTACAGTCTACGAGGGCCCTGTAAGAGACCTAGTAGAGTAGCTTAGGGCGCCGTCGGTATAGAAAACAGCGGCTTATTTGCCTAGGTTATATTATATTTTAGCGAGGGCTTCCAGGTAGGCTGTTTTCTAATCAAGGGTTTCGGGGCCAGGGCCCGGGTCGGTAGCTATTTCAGGCTGGTCTTTAAGAGGGAAAAAGGGTCCTAGGTCCGCTATAGGTTCCGAAGCCTAGGGGGCCTCCTACCCAGCCGAAGGACCCTCGATATCCCAAGACTAACCTATTAAAGCCACTATTTCTAGACCTAGCCTATATAGCTATATAGTAGGCTATAGACTCTAAAGAAGGGCGAGGTTTTAGTTTTCGTCCCCTAGTCGTATTTAAGGATCCGTTAAACGGCTATTTTAGTGTTTTCGTAGGAGGTCTAGCCGTCGAACGCTATCTCCGGAAAGATATAGTAATAGGCGTTAATATCGTGATTAGGCGTAGTATATACACGATAGGGTTCCCCTTTTCTGGCGGTAGATTAACGTCTTTTAGAAGAAGAGCGATTAGTTAAAGTAATAGAAGGTATAGCTATAGATATCGCGGTAGTAGAATTCTCAGCTTTATTCTTCCCACGGCCGCCCTTCTTACAGGGCTTTATCGTGGTATCTAAGGTATCTTCGCCCTTATCACTTCTGGTATACAGTGCCGCGAATACTATAACGCGGTGTTTTCCGCGTTTTCCTTAGTCTTTAAGTTTAGTCTTAGTATATTAGTAACTCAGGATATAAAGGTTTTCAGGAAGTAGTACTTTATTATCTAAAAGGTATCCCTCGGCTTCGGTCTAATCGCGTTTAGCGATTATACGTATCCCTCTAAAGAAGTCTACTGCTACCTAGATATACGTTACGGGCTTTAATTCGACCTCTTTAAGGCGTAGTAATAGCTCTTACTATCTAGATAACTACTCTTATAGCTTTTTTAGAGTTATTAGCACGTTATAGACGTATTTATTATACTCTTTATAAGTATTAACGCGGCGGGTAATTATATAGTGAGTAGTATCGCAGCGGATAGCTTTAAATACCTTTTTAGGGGTAGCGTTACTATAACCGCACAGATACGGCTTTGGTGTAGTATCGCTAGCCGGTTATATAACCCCCTTTTTAAGGCTGCGGGATCTATCTCCCATATATATATTAAGGACAGGCTCTAGATATCCCTATCGAAGGACGATTATTTAATTGATATCCTCTTTTGCAATTACTTATTCTATGTTTAGGGTATCTTTCTAGTTTAACTTACGTTACCCTGATCAGAATAGTGACTACCGATCTACTTCTTCGCTCAAGGTTATAGCGGTGTTGGTTATGTTTTGGTTATGCATCGTGGTTTTGCTGGACTAACCTCCCTATCTTATCTTTGTCTTGACGATCTGGTACCACTACGTCTTTATCTAGTTATATTACGTAGTAGTAGCTTACGGCTTTAGTTAATAGTATTAGTCTCTTAGGTTACAATAGTCCTAATACTCTTAACGTACTTAGCGTAGTTATCCCTTTATAGCTTCTAGTATTATATCGCCGAATTATAGACGCGCTGCCTAGTAGGTATTAGGTCTAACTACTATAAGGGCGTAGCTTCTACTTATAGGGTTACGTATAAAGACTAGAAGTTATCGTAGGAAGGCAAAACAGGCTTTTTAGGGGGGGGAATAGGATTATTAGGGCGTAGATATTCCTAGACTTTATTATTAACGACCATAGCCTTATAGTAGCTACGTCAGAGCTCCTAATCGCGGTAGGTTTTATAGGTAACTAGCTTATATTCGATATCTTAAGGGTCATTTATAGATTAACACGCTATATCGGCGTATCTAGATAGCTTCTTAATCGGTAGTAGTTAAAGGGTAAAGGGTAGGCTTTTCACTTAGTAAGTAAGACTCTTAATTGTTAGATAAAGCGTAGTCGAAATCGTCATAAAATAGGTCAAAATTGATCAAGGTAATTATGTATAATTATAACTATGTGTGGACCGTCAGAGAATTCCTGCCACCGTAATATTAGTGGTGAAGATTCTACAGGTGTCCACCCGGATTATTACGTAATCGAACAGACTGGTCTGTTCGACATTATCTGATCCAAACAGCCACTTGAGACAACGCTTATTGAAACAAGAGCAGCCGGGGAACGTTCTACTTCGAGTTCATCTTGGTCATCGCAAGTACAGTAGCACAATCAACACTCAATATGGCCTGGATTTCCCGCTCGATCATCATAGCTGGTCTCCTCCTTCTTGCCCATGCGTGAGCTTCCCTACCCTCGAAGTTGGTACCTTCAGTTTGTCTGGCTGACGGTGACATTGCTATGCCTTTTCACACAGATGCTATTCGGTCCAGGAGCACGCGGCCCTCCAATCTTTCCAAGCAGCTTCGTCCCTGACCGCAGGAACACCCAAGTCATCTGGCAGCTTACTACCAACCGATATCGTCGTCGAAACTATTCTGGCAACGGTCGTTGTTTGCCTTGGCCTCATTTTCAGAGCCCCTGATCTGCGTCCAATCCAATGGCGCGTCTGGGCAGGCAGGATCGAGAGAGTGTGTGAAGGGAGCCGCGGAGAACCCGGGCACGGTTTTACAGGCAATCCGTTTCGCATTTTGGAAAGTCGACCTGGGTTTGTCGACATCAGAAAACAAAGGCATGAGTTCGCGGACTGGGCTAAAAGTCGCGAGCTGCTGGTTCGGGATTAAAGAATCCGCTGTTTCACCAGATAAGCAGTCTTTTGAGTCAAAGTGGCAGAGACATAAGGATGGCACCAATGGGCATAGGTATTTCTCTCCTTCCTTGTAGGAGGATGTGACCGGTGTGCTATTTAAGGTAGGACAATGCCTACAAAGCCGAGGTGTGCGGTCGTTGGATTTTCCGTACTATGGATGCTTATTGACCCCTCTACGAGGGTTTTTGGTCCTCCGTTTTGTCTGACAAGCCACCAGTAAGACCCCTCGACACGACTTCTCCGTGTCCTCACCTGCCTAGTACGGTTTCGACGAGAAGGTTCCTTTTGGCGTGTCTCGTCATGCCGGTAGACACGGAGTAGCCCTCTTCTGCAGGAAGCACGGTGCTCCTAACCAGCTGTTTCGCGTGCAATTCTCTCCCTCTCTTGGGAGTTCTCCGCCCGTCTCCCTTCGCTTTGGGGATCCATTCGACGTACTAATGCAACTTTTGGGGGTCTATGATGCAACGGCGGAATGCCAGACTAGCCTGCTGAGTGGAAGCCGTGTATGGGCATGCCTCGCTTCGGTCCCCCCCCCCCCCACCCCACCACCACCACCCTTTCCACCCGCTTCCTCTTCCGCCCTGTGTTGCTCGACTTCGTCCGTCCGTTTATCTCTCTGAAGATAAAAGCGCATTATAGGTATGCAGCCGGAATATGCGGATATTGTCATATGGCATTCCCGGCACTTTGTGAGGGGTTTTAGGGAAGATTCCCCTGTGGCAACACTCAAAAGCGTTCGATGCCTACTATCTCACCTATCGACTTCGTAAGGTATGGGGGGTTTCCAGAACAGACCACCGATTGCTTCACAAAGGCTGGAGACATGGCCATATCCTTTCCTACCTAGGTATGGGCAGTCCTCGTCTGGACAGACAGACATGTCCGCCCGAGCTCTAATCAGAATCACTCCTTCCCATCTGGGGACGCAGGATTGATATCGATTGATGGGGACTCACACACGAACGCCGATTGGTTTGCGGGATTCCCAGGTGGTCTCCGGTTTATGGTGTTTTATTTCGGCAATCTGAACCGGACGCTTCATGCTCCCACGCGTATGCTTCGTTTTCTGTAGGTACCTTAGGTCTTTCGGGAAGGCCCTACCCTGAGAACTCACGCAGTACGCGGCAAGTACCTAGGTAGACACATGGCCGCAAACTCCTGCAGCAACTTTAGTCAGGCAGGTAGCGCAATGTCTACCGTGTCACATCATATGAAGACCTGCCTTGACTTATGTTGGTACTTCAACGCATCAGGCGGGCGGTTATCACTTGCCGATGCCATCTTCCCAAGATACCTAAGGTATTGTGTGGTCTTGTTTTAAGCAAAAGTGCTTTTCTACCTGGTACCACCGAGACAGGTAGGTAAGCGGACTCAACCTCTACCCAGGTACCTACTGGCGCTGAATTCTACGAAGGACGCTTCTCTCCTAGGTCGGTCAACGAATTCTTGCTCGAATTCTCAGGAGTACTGCAAAAGATGCCACCATCTTCTATGGGCTTAGGCTCCTCATCCAGCGGAGGGGCTAGGCGGGGTGTGGCCCCGCAAAGAAAGTTCGTACCTCTGTTTGGAGTCCCTAATATAATAGTCACGTCTGACAGTCACAGAATTGCCCGGCCTTCCCCGGACGGGGAAAAGACTCCATCGCAGCATCTGTGGCGTGGCTCCCATAGACCGTATGGGGTATCTCAGTCTGGAAGAGCACGCAGTTGCTCACTGTCCGATGATTTGTTGGGACAGCGAGTCACTCCGGGTTTGCCAGATGCTCGCGAAATATCGCGTTCGTTCCTTTCACTTCAACCTCGTGGCCCTGACTGTTCTTCGACAATCTCCGATGGCAAAGCCCAGGGGGAAGCTTCCGAACAAGAAAGCACAACGCCCAGCGGTGTAGGTGAGGTCATTTTGGCCATTAATATGACCGATAAGGGAGTCCTAGGTTGTGCCTACTACCTTGTCCATCAACAAGCCCTTTTTGTGATGAATGAGCTAGAAGGAGCAGACGTCTCGATTCTGGAGTCTCTTCTCATCCACGCCCAACCAAACACCGTTCTGTTACCCTTCAAAGCAAAGGATCTCGTGATGGACTTCTTTGACAAGACAACCTTGGTCGCCGAGGGTGAGAGAATGCCATTGCACCGGATATCGCTACAGTTGAAATAACTATGTGACAGGCTCAGTTCATCGCTCCTTCGTTCTTCGCACGCTCACATCCACAGAATACGGATACAACGCCGCATTAAACCGGTTATCGAAACTATATATTCGGGCAGCCCACCCCGTAGGAGATGTGACTTGTTCCCAGGTTGATAAGGAGAGCCTCGCGGCGGAAACTTCTCCAGATTGTGTTATCGCAGCAGGTATGCGGTTCGGTTCCAGTGTCAACCTCGACTGCCGACTATCGGTATGTATTGGATCATAATCCCCGTTTGCCACTCGATGAACCTAATCTTTCTTAGATAGGCTGCGCTGGCGCAGTTATCAGTGACATTCTGCGTCGGGGAGGAGATAGTGGGAGAGACGATACTCCTACTGCGCTACCCATTCACTCGATGCAGATGTTCTCGCTTTCACACTATCTACGGGTGAGCGGATATGCGTTGAAGTCATTGCAGATCATTCGATCTGAACTCCACCCTAACCGTCATGCCGGTGGTTCTCGAGGATCCAGTACTTGCCAGAGAGAGAGCCTGTGCGTTCTCGGTCTATTTCGTACACTTGCCGGGACACCACAGGGAAGAGTCAAGCTACGCCAGATTTTTCTCAGGCCAGTCACGGACCTCGGTATCATAAGAGAGAGACACCGGACCATTGCAACCATTTTGCGACCCGAGAACTCGGAGACGCTCCGGCATATCTCTCAGAGCCTGCGGAACATACCTGATATTAGGAAGAGTTTGTCACGGTTGCGAAAGGGAATCGATTCCAGCACTGGACAGGCTGCCGTCACTGGGGGCACCTGGTGGAACTTGGCCCGATTCACCTTGCATTGTTCACAGCTCCGGGATTTGCTGTTACAGCTAGATCCACGATGCGAGTTAATAATCGTGGCAGAGGTAGATGCAGCTCCAGAAATGTCGTCCATGGCGACATGACTATGCAAGTGGCTGACTATAATCAGACAGTGGGGTCAATAAATGTATCGACTATGCGAACAGTAGGTGCTCTCATTCACTCGACTGTCGATTTCGAAGAAGCAAGCGCAGATGTCCGTGTGACGGTGAAACCGGGATTTGATAATCAGCTGGACAGGCTGAGGCGAGATTATCAAGGAATTGAAGGTCTTCTAGTGCAAGCCAACTCTAAACTGACACGAGAGCTTCCGGAATGGGCGCGCAAGTACATCACTGGCTGCGTCTTTTGGCCTCAGCTTGGGTTCCTCACCATGGTCCTACTGGATAATGCTACTCATGTACCCCTGTATGAAGGACAAGGTCTAGATGGTGACCGGTGGGAGTTGTTCTTCTCCGCCGACCAGAAGGCCTATTATAAAAATCGTCGTATGCGAGAGCTCGATGCCCACTTGGGCGACTTCCACACTAAGATCCTGGGTATGTCCTCGAATGAATCCCGATGCCATGCCATGTACTGACATCGCCAAGACTTGGAAGTCAGCATAATCCACAGCCTCGCCGTCGAGATCTTGAAGCATGAATCTGCACTCGCGCTTGCCTCGGATGTATGTGGTGAGATAGACTCCCTAGTGGCGCTTGCTGTTGGGGCCCGGAAATATCAGTGGACTTCCCCTGTCATGACGGCTGCGAACGTCGTCCGCATACAGGGAGGTCGCCATCCGCTGCAGGAGCTGGTTGTGCCCACATATGTCCCGAACGACTGCGACATTACTGGCGGAATGGAAGACCCAATCGACAGTGCCAGCATAGGATCGAGAGAGAGCGGACGGAACAGCTGCGCGGCGGCCCGGGAGAACCGACAGAACGGCAATGTGGTCGTTTTAACCGGCCCGAACCATTCGGGGAAAAGTGTACTCGTCAAGCAGGTCGCCCTGATAGTCTATCTTGCCCATATAGGCAGCTACGTTCCCGCAAACAAAGCCATCATTGGCCTAACCGACCAGATCCTGACGCGCATCTCACGTGGGGACGTGGTTTCGCAGGATGAGAGCGCGTTTGGCTCTGATCTTCAGCAAGTGGCCTTCTGCCTCAAGTCAGCAACACGGCAGAGCCTCGTGCTTATCGATGAATTCGGAAAGGGTACGAGAGCTGACGACGGAGCGGGACTAATGACGGCGCTCCTGACCCACTTGCTATCACTTGGCCATGAGTGCCCTCGTGTCCTCGTCACGACACATTACCACGAGATATTTGAAGGGCATTATATTGGCAATAGGACTGCGTTGTCGTTTGCCCACATGGATGTACGCCTAGACCTTGCGGCAGCCCCACGCAACGACATGCTTACATACCTCTACAAATTGGTGCCAGGAAGAAGCAACTCGAGCTTCGGTGGCCTCTGTGCCGCACTCAATGGTGTCGACCAAGCAGTCGTAGATCGAGCAGATGCCATCTCCATGCTGCTGGCGCGAAATGAGAATCTTGTGGCAGCCTGCGCCAGGCTGGATACAGAAGATGAAGGTCGTCTAGAAGAAGCTGAATCCGTGGCCCGTAGATTCCTACTCCTTGAGGTGAAGGAACTCCTACAGCTGAATGAGGACACGGAGAAGATTACGAGTGTGGTGCTTCGTGTGCTAGGAGTACAAAGCAAATAACGGTTCCAGTTATGGATTATGTTAGATGCTACTATACACTTATCGGGGTGTGATATACTATATTATGTTAGACGTGTGGAGTACCTTGATCCTATGTATCTATACTTATTCCCCCTAGGTCTTCCCTATAGTTAGATATTCCTATAGAGTACCTTTTACTCTGCTCTAATGTATATATATATATCTTTTATATAAGTTTATTTATATACTAATAGCTATAAGCCCGGCGTCCTAATAAATAAAGTAATTCTAAGAGATCCTACAGTTTTAAGGCCGATAATTACCTTAAGTCTATAGCGGGTAGTTTAGTATTATTAGCTATGTCCGCCTGCTTTACTTAATCGTTTTTCCGCTTTTTAATTACTCCTTTAATCGCTAATCGCATATTCGTTCCGTCTACTTATTTCTCTATAGTCCTAGTTAGTATTAGGTGCCTGTAGCAGTGGTTATAATAGGTCCTAAGTATAAACCTATCGGGGTCTAGGCGTCTTTAGTCAAAGACCCCTTAAGGCATAAATAAAAGCAGTTATTATATAGTAAATAGAATAGTCTCTTAAAGTAAATAAGTAGCCCTCGAGGAAGTAAATAAAGTAGTCCCTAAGGAGTAGTAGAACGTAGTCTTAAGGAGCGAAAGAGCCTCCCTAAGAGGGAGGCTAGCGATTAATCTGATTCTTTAGCTATATCTAGATTCTGATCGTACTATAATCCTATTATGATTCTATCTAGTTCTTTATTTAACCCTACCTTTTTACTCTTTACGACTATCTATTGAATATATTTAATCGATTTACCCTTTAAGGGCGCGAAGACCGTTAAGGAGAGTCACTGAGATATCTAACTATCACGAAATAAATAATCCTACCTTCGATTTTAATAAGACTACTAGTTAGTTTAAGCGGTAGCTCCGCGATAGCGAGACTGCTTTTATAGAAAACGCTCCCCACGATAAGGGAGATAACAGGAACACGTCGGGAACTAACACGGCTCCTATATCTACTACCGTACCGGTACTTATCCCTATACCTACACCTATCCCTATTACTACTACTAGCACTACCCTTATCGCTGCCCCTATTCGTTCTAAGCCTATAACGTAGTAGACGCGATAGGCGGGCGATCCTAATCTACCCCCGTATATAAACGTTAACCTAGCTATACTAACGGATAAATAACTAGACGAACGCGTTAAGTGGATAAAGGCGTAGAACTACTATAAGCGTATACCTTACTAAGCTTAAGGCGGATATTATTACCGCTATTATTACCGCCGTTATTACCGCCGCCGCCGCCGCTATTAATCTTAACCTAGTCGATATTACCTACCGCCGTATAGCTAAGCCTCGGCGTTATATTATCGTAACCCTTATAGAATCCTAGTATACCTACGATATATCCACGACGATATCTATATAAGGATCCGCTACCTAGGCTAAGTTTAATTTCCCCTTACCTAAATAGGATAGCGTATCCTAGTCTAAGTATCGTATATTTATCTAAGAGACGAATTAACGGTTTAACCTAGACTCTTAGTCCTTCCCCACGGACGCTATAAAGAACTACTTCGTTATATTATACCTCCCCTACTATCTTAAGGAACGCTAGCAGGCTAAACTACGATATAAGTACGATAGCGATTCTAATAAGGTTAGCTAGGCCATACTATAAGCTTAGCTACCCTATTAGGTCGACGATAACGATACCCGTCTAAGGGAGGTAGCGGTATAGATTTAGAGCGAATCTATTTTATCCTAGAGAGAGAGAGAAACCTACGCTAAGTTTATATAACGGTGGGAAGCCCTAGAGTCGGAACTACTAGGCGAACTTCTAGACTAATAGAGAATTTGGTTAGTATTAATAAGGGTCTTCCTACCTATTCGGGACTATATAGTATTTATAAGGGTTACTAAGGATTACTAGGACCTCGCCCTGGCCTACTATAAGGCAGAAGCCTTAACTATTAATAACGAATTAGCCGTCGCTTGGATAGACTTTTAGTCAATTATCCGTACCGAATAATATTGTTTTTATTCGCGTGCCCCCGGTTAGAGCTCCTAGGTAGCTACCTAAATAGCTACCTATACTTCTACTACTATCCTTACCTATACCCTTACTACGCCTACTCCTAGTTACCCTATACGTACTAGACCTTTATCCTTAGCTCCGTCCCCCCGTTACCTTAACTCCGTCACTTACTATAACTATAATAAAAAGGGGTATTACGCTACTATATACCCTAGCCCTTATACCGAGCGGTTATACTCGAATAATAGTAACCCGAATACATAACCGGTATTTATATCCCGCGTTATATTTAGCCGTGTTACGGGCGAAATACCTTAGGAATAATACCCGCCTCGAGTAACCCCTTTTACTATTATTATACCGGTAAAAGCACGCGTTTCCCTTCGTCGAGGTAAGGAATAGGTATAGATATCGACTCTTCTTAACGGGGGTGCCGATACTAATATTTTAGATCGGCCCCTTCTAGGACCTAATTAGGTTCTTAATAGATCCCTGGTTCCGGTATCCTGGATTATAGAAAGGTAAACGAAAATAACTTTTAGATCTACTTATAAGTTTAGTATCGTGACTAACTATTAGAGTCGAAAAAGAGTATAGCGCGCCGAGTTCTACGTTATATAGCTTAACCCCTAAGGTGCCCGAATAATCTCAGGAAGGCCGTGGCTTATAGCCGTTAACCCTATGGTTAATTAGCAGGATAGCACTTAGACCTACCCCTTAACCTACGCGGAACTTAGTATAATTATATCTCCTAAAGCCTTATATAAAGCGAAGAGAGAAGCTAAGTCTATCCTTACTCTAATCTATCTAGGGCTTATATAGGACCTATATATCGGCTATGTTGGCCTAATAGAAAACCCTTTAGTAAGCCGTGGAGATAAATTCTTAGGAGATAAGGCTCCTCTTAACTTAGACGGAGACCCTATTACCCCTGTGCTGCCGGAGTAGTATTAAGAATTCGCTAACGTCTTTAACGTTAAAAACGCTAGCTAATTACCAATATACTAGTAATAGGACTACGCGATTAAGACTAAGGAAGGGCAAAAGCTACCGTATAGTCCTATTTACCCTCTCGCCGCGTAGGAATTAGAAGTACTATGTTAGTATTTATAGGATACTATTATAAAGGGATAGATTAAACCGTCTATTAGCCTATCCGGCGCCCCTATCCTATTTATTCCTAAGAAGGGCGGTAAGCTACGACTCTATATCGACAATAGAGGACTAAATAAGGTGACTATTAAGGACCGTACCCTATTACCCCTTATCCACGAAATCTTAGATTATTTATCTTTAGCGTAGTACTATACTAAGCTAGATCTTAAGGATATATACTATCGGCTCCGTATACGGGCAGGTAATAAATAGAAAACGGCGTTCTGGATAAAATACGGCCACTATAAGTACCTCGTTATACTATTCGGGTTAACTAATACGCCCGTAAGCTTTTAGCGGTATATTAACTAGGCGCTAACAGGCCTTATCGATACTATTTACGTTATATACCTTAACGATATCCTTATTTATAGTAAGCACTTAGCTACCTACCGCGTGTATGTCCGCGAGGTCCTTACTAGGCTTAGGTAGTAGTCCCTATATACTAACTCTAATAAGTGTATATTTAAGACCCGCGATATTAAGTTTCTCGGGTTTATTTATAGTCTAGATAGGGTACGTCTAGACCTATCTCGCGTTAAGGATATCCGCTACTAGGAGCTCCCTAATAGTGTTAATAAGATATAGGTTTTCCTATGTTTTACGGGCCTTATAGACGTTTTATTAAGATTTACTCTAAGGTGGCCGCCCTATTTATAGACTGTCTAAAGGGAGGGTATAGTAGAGTCCTTATACTTTCCTAATAGGCCTAGGCCGCGTTCGAAGAAATAAAGCTGCTATTTTAGGAGGTACCGGTTCTATAGTATTTGAACCCTACTCTGCTAATACGTATTAAGCTAGATATTTTTGCTTTTATAATTAGGGCCGTTATTAGTTAGCTCGAGGATAAACTATAAAGACCTGTTATATTTATATCCTATAAGCTCTGCAGCGCTAAGCTTAATTATAGTATACCTAATTCTAAGCTTATAGCTATTATCGAGTCTTTCCGTATAGAGCGTTACTATATCACCTATAGTTAAAGCCCCGTTATAGTCCTAATAGACTATCTAAACCACCGCTATCTATTAGATAAGCCGAAGCTTAAGGAGTAGTATGCCTAATAGCTTAAGGAGCTAGCGCTATTTAATTTTAAGATTCGGCACCGCCCGGGGACGTTAAACCCCGCAGATAGGTTATTAAGAAAGCCCTAATATACGCCCTATAAGCGCGCCCTGGTGACTAACCGGGCTAAGGCGGTAGAGTCTTTTTCGAAGCGTTTCACTATAAGCTATATCGGGAACTATCGTAGTTCCCATACTAGCCCCGATCTTATTTTCCCCGCTCTTAAGTCCCCTACCTTACTAGAAGAGGTGGTAGAGACGTAAGCGGATAACCCTTTTTTAGAGTCCTTTTCGAGGCGTTTTGTTTTAGGCCTTATTAGGAACTAGCGTGGTTCCTGTATTACCCCCGATTCTGATTTTCCCGCTCTTAATTCCCCTACCTTATTAGAAAAGGTAGTAAAGGCGTGAGCAGAAGACCCTTTTTACGTCCGTTAGCGAGAGGCCTATAGTCATAATACTATATACGGATATTAGTCTAGGAGCGGTAGTATCCTTCGTTTTAAGAATCGCGATTTTATACTAGATTACTTTAGCCTGCGAGAAAAGGTCTTATAGGCTTCTATAACGGACCTAGTATAGGGTACTAAAGGATTACACGGACTATTAAGCTAGTATCGGATTTTTACTTCTAGGACTATCTCCTATAGAATATACGTTTATATATACTTATTTACGGCGTATATTAATATACTAAGCCGTGGTACTATAAGCTATATAGCGAGCTAGCGAGTCTTCTAGTGCTCTAGCACCCCTTTATAG